GAGTCCTTGGTCACTCTGATGGAAGTATAATCTTAGCCAAGGTGACCCTGGAAGCCAATGTGACCTCCAGCAATCTTTCTCCAGCCCAGAAATGCTGGGTTCACTGGACAAAGCCTCCTTAGAGTGATCTAATCCTATCCACCAAGCAACTCCCTTGGAGGCCCTGTGCTTTTTTTTTTTTTCCCTGTAAATGTAGCCAGAGCTCAGGCCCCCAAAGATGCAAGTGGCACTATAAACAGACCCTATCCCCCAAAAGTAATCTGCCTAGGTGTACTTTGGCACTTAGAATAAGAAGGCATCAGTGAAGCCCTGAACAAGTGGCTCCCTCCCCAGGGGTCCTCTGGCTTCAGTTCCACCAGTCTGCTTTTTCCCTGACACACTTCCACTCTTCACCTGTGTCTGCCCTTGCTCATTGGCTGCCAGCTAATCTGACCCACTTATCCCAGGAAGGACAGCTAGGACTGAGAAGACTTTGGGTCTTCTAAACAAAATAATTTTTTTTTTTTTTTTTTGGAGTCTCCCTCTGTTGCCAAGGCTGGAGTGCAGTGGCGCCATCTTGGCTCACTGCAAGCTCTGTCTCCCGGGTTCACGCCATTCTCCTACCTCAGCTTCCCAAGTAGCTGGGACTACAGGCACCCACCACCACACCCGGCTAAATTTTTTTTGTATTTTTAGTAGAGACAGGGTTTCACTGTGCTAGCCAGGATGGTCTCGATCTCCTGACCTCGTGATCCGCCCACCTTGGCCTCTCAAAGTGCTGGGATTACAGGCATGAGCCACCGTGCCTGGCCAGCAAAATAATTTTTAACTTATAGTGGCATCTCTGGCTCACTGTGAGAGAAGGAGAGGTCTGATGCATTTGTGGCAAGTCCTGTGTTCAAAGGAGCCAATGAATCTTCAAATGAACTGCAGCCTACCTTATTCCCACTTCTCCTGGGGGAGGAGGGCTCTAAGAGGAATTACATGACCCACAGAGCTTCCTCTATACCACTCCTGAATTGGTCCCAGAAGTTGTGGCATCCCTCAAACCTCCATCTCAGAATCCATTCTGTGAGAAGCCGGTTAAGAAACCCAGTAATGACTCAGCACCAGACTCTTCTCCCCTCTGCCCACCAGCCAGAATGAAAGGCAGAATCGAGCAGGCTCCTCCCCAATGGATGGCCACATCCTCACCACAAACTGAGTCATGGTCACACCCTGCCTGATGGAAAATTACCAGGAGGAGGGAAACAGAAGGTTAAACTCCAGGGGTTTGTAATTTCTCAACCTAAGAATCAGATAAATGTTTGAGGTGATGGATATCCCACTTACCCTGATGTGATTTGTGCATTCCATACCTGTATCAAAATAACTCAAGTAACCCATAAATATATATACCTATTTATGTACCCACAAAAATAAAAAAAATAGCCATCTACTCTGTACCTGGAACTAATGAAGAAAATAGTTCTTTTCCTGACCCTAGTCCTAACCAAGCATGTCCAGGTCTATGAAGTGAGACTGCTTGAGCTGAGGACTATGTGAAAGGTAGACCCCGTCAACCTGTATTTATGGTATTTGCAATAGGCTTGGCCCTGTGAAGGATAATGCCTTGTTGCTCACACCTGGGTTTCACAGGCTCCAGCTTCCCCACTTCCAGAAGAACCAGGCCTGGGCAGAGAAAAGGGGCAACTTTACCTCAATTCCCCCTCCAGGCTGTGGGAGGATTCCTCTCCAGAAACTCAGGGTCCCACCCAAGTTTCCCTACAATGAAGGCATTCTTGTATTTGTGGGGTTTTAATTATATTTGTTTTACCTCATATACGTTAAGATATTATCATCTGTAGCTTCTAAACTTCTTAGATCCAAAAAGTCCTATTGCTTTTCTGTGGTACTATGAAATGATGTATTTAATTTTATTACAATTTTATTGGCATAAAAAGATTATTAGACAGATGCTTTTTTTTTGTTAAGTGACACCCATAGGCTAGCTCAGCTATTGGAGTTTTTCTGGTAATATACACCATCTGTTCCTTCTCATTCCATCATTTGCTAGTACTGCTATATTGGATGTCAGTGATACAGAGAAACTGTAAGAAATGTTTACAACTGAGAAAAATCTATTAACAATCTTTGAAATTGAACAGAAATGTTGTTATACCATTTGAGTAGCCACACACCAAAGTTCAGTTGCTAGAACATCAGTGAGAACACCTGGAGAAGGTCTAGGATAACAGAGTGGTTAAAAGAACTCAGGTTCTGGAGTTGGGCAGATCTAGTTAAAAACAGCACTGGTTGCGCACGGTAGCTCATGCCTGTAATCCCAGCACATTGAGAGGACTGCTTGAGGCTAGCGGTTCAAGACCAGTCTGGGCAACATAGCAAGATCCCATTTCTACAAAAATTTTTTTAAAATTAGCCAGGCACGGTGGCACATGCCTGTAGTAATAGTTACTTGAGAGGCTGAGGCAGGAGAATCACTTGAACTCAGGAGTTCAAAGTTGCATGAGCTATGATCACACCACTGCACTCCAGCCTGGGTGAGACTGAGACCAAGTCTTATAAAAAACCAAAAAGCAAAACTTAACATTGCCACTAACCAGCTGTGGGGCCTTAGATACATTATTTAAGATCTCTAAAGAAAACCTATCTTCCAGCTTTGTGGTCAGGATTAAATGAAAAAATATTTGTAAAGTTTGAACACTTTACAGCATAGAACCAGAACAGCAGTCTGGAGTCAGGCAGCCTGTCACTAGCTGTGGAACATAAGTTACTTATGCTCTGTGTCTCTGCTTTCTCATCTACAAAATAGGAATAATCACACCTACTTCACAGGCTTGTTCTGAGAATTACGACTCAATATATGTAGAAAACTTACAATATTGGCTGGGCGCGGTGGCTCACCCCTGTCATCTCAGCACTTTGGGAGGCCAAGGCAGGTGGATCACCTGAGGTCAGGAGTTCGAGACCAGCCTGACCAACATGGTGAAACCCCGTCTCTACCAAAAATACAAAAAATTAGCTGGACGTGGTGGTGCATGCCTGTAATTCCGGTTACTCAGGAGGCTAAGGAAGGAGAATCACTTGAACTGGGGAGGTGGAGGTTGTAGTGAGCTGAGATGGCACCACTGCACTCTAGCCTGGACAAAAAGAGTGAAGCTCCATCTCAAAAAAAAAAAAAAAAAGAGAAAAGAAAACTTTTAATACCGAGCACACAGTAAGTAATCCAAAGTGTTAACAAATTATTAAAGTGCTCAGCATAATGTCAGCACCTTCTTAGTAAAAACTAAAGAAAATGTCAGCTATCTCTACTACTACAGAGATGGGCACAAAGTCCTCTCAGGAGGCAGGTATTTCAGTTAGAGTGGGCTCAGTGATGAGGTCATTTACTTGGTGAAGATGTTATTTCCTAGACCTGAAATCAGAACAGGAGAAGAGGGCTTAGGAGACTTGTAAATTAGAACGTATTAGTGTTGATCAAGAATGAGCAAAGTTTAAGAAACAGCTTCTAGAGGGATGGACCTTAAGAATGGTACTTGCATGTTAAAGCAGGTCAGAACTAAAAACCAGGGTAAGGTACCCAGGCAAGAAGGTACCTCTAAAGTACGGTGAACGTAACAAAAGACAACAGGTAGTCTAGAGTGGGCTTTGTAAATTAAGCTACAACAGATTAAGAAAACCTTATCCTTGAAATGCCAGGCTTAGTTAATGCTTTTTGTATTCTCTGTGCTTATATTCCCGTTTTTCTTTTTTTTTTTTTGGTTTTTTTTTTGAGATGGAGTCTTGCTCTGTCACCTAGGCTGCAGTGCAGTGGTGCGATCTCCGCTCACTGCAAGCTCTGCCTCCCAGGTTCAGGCCATGCTCCTGCCTCAGCCTCCCAAGTAGCTGGAGGCTGGACCATCACGCCCAGCTAACTTTTGTATTTTTAGTAGAGATGGGGTTTCACATCTTATAGTTAGCCAGGATGGTCTCGATCTCCTGACCTCGTGATCCACCCTCCTCGGCCTCCCAAAGTGCTGGGATTACAGACGAGAATCACCGCACCTGTTTTTCTTCATTAGTATTTCATAAAGTCTGTAATCCCAGCACTTTGAGAGGCCGACAGAGGCGGATGGCTTGAGCCCAGGAGTTGGAGACCAGCCTGGGCAACATGGTGAAATGCCATCTGTCCAAAGAGTATGGAAATTATCCATGCGTGGTGGCACCTGCCTGTGGTCCCAGCTACTTGGAAGGCTGAGGTGGGAGGATCACCTGAGCTTGGTGGGTCAAGGCAACAGAGTAAGACCGTGTCTCAAAAAAAAAAAAAAAAATTTCATAAAATATTTGGAAATGTCCGACTCAGCCATCTATGCTTATAACTAAGGATTTGGGGTACATGAAGCACAGCCTGAAAAGGACAGCAAAATGCTGAAATGGGAATTTCAACAGGGAGAAGAAAAAATTCACTAAAACAATGAGGTTTCCTAGAAAGAGCTGCCTTCCTTTACCACCTTGCTAACCTTGGCGAAATTGGGTTGTTTCATTAAGTGAAGCTGCATTCCCTTAGGATGTCTTTATAGATTTCGACTGAGAGATAAACCCCACTTCCTGCTCCCACCAGTTCTCCCCTAACCTCACTTACCCCAAAGAAACAGGTTGGAGGAGAAAGAGAGTAGGGGCTCAGTTCCTGAGATACAGTGCAAGGGAGATTGGGCAGGTTTGTGCAGAAAGCAATAGGCCCTAAAGGCAGTAAATCTTAGCTGCTCTGGCCTCAATGGCCCTTTTAAATTTTGACTAATAGTCACTATCGGTATTCCATATTCTCGGTTTGTTTCCTCTGCACAACTGGTAAGTTTCCCTTTAATACACTGATCAAAAAGCTGACAGATCTGTAGTATACTACAATAAATGGACACAACTTTGATACCATGCAACATAAACAGTCCCAACCCACAGGATATTCCATTCTCCCCACCCCCCTGCCCCTTGTGAGGGCTTGGGGCAGGTGCTGCTCCAAAGCTAGTCAGACCACAGTGATCATATCCAGTCCACAGCACCTTCCATTTTATTGTTTTATTTACAAACAGGGTGAAGTCAAAGGGAAAGTCAGGGGTTGAAGCCAGTCTGGGCCATCCAAATGTGGAGTAGTTCTTGGTCAAGCTCCACCATGGAGGCCACCTCTTATATATCCTTTTCCTGCCCCTTGGTAATGGCCCCTTGATTCCTCAGGGCAGCCTCAGTTGCTGTACCTGAACACTTTTATAAGGGCAGATGGATCCTGGGGTAACAGGGGTGGTACGAGGGCTGGGGCCCCCTCAGTTTGTGTAAACCTGAGTTCCGATCACACGCATGATTTCCTTCTGTATCTTGGGGTCCTGAGTATTAATGTTGGCATCGCCCACCTGACCATCCTCATATCTGCCAAAGATAGGGCAAGTGTGAGCATAAGAGGGAGAACAATACCAGAATAACATCAATCAGTGGAACTGTATTTGAAGGTATGGCCATCCCGTCCCAGAAGTCAAAGCCCTTTCTCACTACTCTTCATAGTGGAAGAGATTCAGCTTATCTGGTTTCCTCTAGATAGATCCCAACAATCTATACCCATTCCCATCCTCCAGTGGTAAAGTCCCAGTGCCAGCTCCACTCAGCTAGCCAAGGACATGTCTCAAATAACAGAAATACACTTTTCCCAGTAACCACACACCATTACACCCCCAACCTCACTCCTCGAGGAATCCCCAGAGTCCCTCTGAGACTTACACAAAGAAGAACCTTGTGCAGACATGGTCGGATACAGGGCACACCCAGATGTTCCCATGCTTCTGGAGGTCCTTAGATGTAATCACTGGGAGAAAGAGGGCCAGAAATCATAGATACAATGCTTAAGGCATGGAGTCCAGGCAAGAGAAGGAAGCCATACCGCTTTAACATCACTCTTGGCCAGATCATGTGCCAAAATTACATCAGAAACAAAGGTTAGAGACCCAGAAAAATAGGACATGGGCAAGCTACCTACCTTCACAAAGTGCTATACAGTTTAGATTCCGACTCTGCAGGAACCTTGACTGAATGGATCGGGTCTGGAAGAGAAGGAGGCAAAGGAGACCAGAGCCAGGGTACAGCTTTCCCTAGAGAGGCTAGTTAGCTGATGACTGGAAGTGGGGCTCAGAGATATCCTGGGCTCCCAGCAACCCCGCCAAAATTCTGCTTTCCCATAATCAGTCTGGATAGGGTGACAGCTTCCATCTTTACATTTTCATCTAAACTCAGCCTCTGCTTTTATACTCATGACTTCGGCTACATATGACTCCAGACATGTGTTCACTTTAGAACATACCTGATTCCTTTAAATGATCTTCAAATCACTTCCCAACCCATTCTCACCCCACTGTTTCCCTGTCCAGCTCTGGAGCCTAAATTAGCCCCAGGAAAAGGTCCTGCCTCATTAGAACAGTTCCAATACCTGGGGGATGGTATTCATCCTGTTATATCTCTGGACCAGCTCATCCTTGGAGGGCATCCTGTGCTGTCCTTTTCCCATTCCTGTCACAGAACAATACACCCAGTTCATTTATCAAAAATTTACTAAAGGGCCTGAGCTAGATGCTCATCCCAGCACTGAGCTAGATGCTCATCAAAACAGCAGAAAATAAAACAAACAAGATATTTTCCCCCACAGAATTTAGTCTGCTGGAAATTACAGGCAAGAACAAGTCATTACAACACGGTATGGTAAGGGGCTGTGATGCAGATTATAGAGCATGGTGTGAGCCCAGAGGAGGGCAACTAGCCTAGCCTAAGGGTTTAAAGAAGTCATGTGGTGGCAGCTAGACTAAGAACTGCAGGATCAGGAAGAGTTAAACAAACAGGGAGGAAGTATCTGGGCAGAAGTAACAGGATACAGAAGGCCTGAAGGAAAGATAAGATAGTGCGTGTTAGTCACACAAAGAATAGTCAATTGCACAGGAGTGGTGAGAAATGATGTAGAAGAGGCAAGCTAGGATCAGATCAAGCAGGCTTTGCAGGCCATGTTAAGGCAACTAAAGTCTATCCTCAGAACATTAGGGAACCACTGCAGGGTTCTAAGATATGGGAGTAGCACATGAAATCATCCAGGATGAGGGGCCTAGGAGAGTGGGACATCAATATCTTGGTGTCAAGTGCCTGGATGAGTGAAATGAATGGAAAGGAAGCGAGCAGAGCAAGTCAGATTTGCTCTAGTCTCAAAGTTACATTAAAAATCTGACCAGTAATTCAAGAGAAAAGCACTCATCAGCAGTTAAGTGATGAATAATTTTGTACAGGAAATCACAATGGCAACTACCTTGAAGAATCTTACTTCAAAAAGTTTTCCTAGGTTTGAGAAAGAAGTGCCCATTTCTTCTAGTTTCCACATTATCTGAATCCATAAACACTCTACCTTCCTTACCCCTGTTTATAACATTTATAGACTCAACTTCGACTTTTCTTATTTAGATATGAAAATGTGCTTGTGTGCTCCCACTCCTCACTTTTTTTGGTTTGAGGATAGGACGTTAAGTCTCTGTACTCAGTTTTATCATAGGCCCAATCTTACCACAGATAGGGATAAAAGTGTGTATGCATGTGTGGACATAGGTGCCTGTGTGTGTGTCCACCAGGGAGAGAGATGAAGATGGAGATGATGCTATCATTATAGGTCATAAGCACTCTGATCACTCTACCCTGGAACTTTCTATTATTATTAATTCTACTCTGATTAGTTCTTGGTTTTCTGATACCCATGGTGTAGAAATAGAGTGACAGCTGTTGAACTGACATTCTTCACTGCTCAGGCTGTCAATTCATCATGCATTCACATTCAAGTCTCAGGACAGATTTAGGTAGGGCCAGAACAAAACTCAGGACACCAAGAGCCTCAAGGCTTGAATTGCCAATTTCTTCCTTTTACAGGACAGATACTCATAACCCCTTTGTTTTCACCTTCCCCATTAGCCTTAACTAGATTCAGCTCTCCATCCAAATACCATGACCTTCTCTCAAATTGGGTATGTCAGTGACAAGAAGTAAAATTCCCATTCAGGTTATACTCCAGAGGAGGCAGATAAGAAGATAATAAAGAACAATCTGATTCCTCTGGAAGGTCTTAAAGATGGCCCTTATGATAGAACCCAAATCTTGTCCCACCTCAATCCTGTTGTACACTGTCCTTTCCATACTGATCCAATGATTGTCCATTTCCTGAGCCCAGACCCTGAGATCATGGTGGCTAGAATAATCCCTAGATGTTTTGTGTCCAGATTATGCACTTATCAGAAGTCCCTGAACAAGACTAAACAAACAGATGGAGTATATCACCTCCTTTTTCACTGTCCCCTATTTCAACCTGAACTTTATAGCCAAGTCACTGGAACCTCTACTAGATATATGAACACTATTTACACCAACCCCCACTTCCAGAGGGCACCCAATGCCATTAGACTAAAGATAGTGTGAGAAAGAAAAAACAGAAAACCAGAGCAGAATAGCGTAGAAGAAACATACAAGACAGCTGGTCAAATGCTGGAGTAACTACAGTAAGTGGAACATTTGCACACATTTCCCCAAACCTCCCATTATACATACTCACATATCTATAGGGCCCTCAGAGACCCGTCATTCAAGCAAGGCCTACTCTTTCAGTCTAAAATAATGTATTAGTCCATTTTCACACTGCTGATGAAGACATACCCAGGACTTGCTAATTTATATAGAAAAAAGGGTTTAATGGACTTACAGTTCCACATGGCTCGGGAGACCTCACAATCATGGTGGAAGGCAAGGAGGAGCAAGTCACATCTTAAATGGATGGTGACAGCCAAAGAGAGAGCTTGTGCAGCAAAACTCCCCCTTATAGAACTATCAGATCTCATGAGACTTATTCACTATTACAAGAACAGCACTGGAAAAACCTGCCCCCATGGGCCGGGCGCAGTGGCTCATGCCTGTAATCCCAGCACTTCGGGAGGCCAAGGCAGGCAGATCATGAGGTCAGGAGATCAAGACCATCCTGGCTAGCACAGTGAAACCCTGTCTCTACTAAAAATACAAAAAAAATCAGCCAGGCGTGGTGGTGGGCACCTGTAGTCCCAGCTACTCGGGAGCCTGAGGCAGGAGAATGGCGTGAACCCGGGAGGTGGAGCTTGCAGTGAGCTGAGACCACGCCACTGCACTCCAGCCTGGGCGACAGAGTGAGACTCCATCTAAAAAAAAAACCTGCCCCCATGATTCAATTACCTCCCACTGGGTCCCTTCCACAACACATGGGAATTCAAGATGAGATCTGGGTGGAGACACAGCCAAACCGTATCATATAGTGATAACAACAATGGCCTAGAAATTAGGAGACCTGGATTGCAGCCCTATCTCTGCTACTCATAGCTATGTAACCATGAGAAAACCATTTAATTTTTCTGTATATCAGCTTTCTTATCTGTAAAGTAATAAGGGATTAAATTAGATGATCTATAACTCCAATAGTAAAATTCTATTGTTTTTTGTATCTATAATCAATTACCCTTTGAGAGAGGGAGATGAAAGGTGTCTATGATATCTTTATGTAATCGGTTAAGTGATGAAGAAAGACAAGAGGTCAACAGAGATTTCTGACTTCATCTGGTAACTAAAGGTATTCAGGCACTTGATAGTAAACAAAGGCCAGGGGGAGAAAAGAGAAAGAAAGGGAGGGGATAGGGAGAAAACAGGAAAGAATCTCAATGGGCACCAAGAACCATGAGAATCTCACTACTCAGAAAGACAAAAGAACTTAATCAGAAGGATGCTTAGGCTGAGACAAAGATAAAAAGTGAAGAATCTAGACAAATCAAAAAGACTATTCCAACCCTAACCCCACTTTGGATGCCAGGCACAGAGAGTAAGATTCACTCACATATTCAATAAATATGTGTTGGTCACCTGCCCTATGTGGATTAATCATAATCTTTGTTTCATGACACATTATTGGTTTTGTTTTTTTGAGACGGAGTCTTGCTCTGTCGCCCAGGCTGGAGTGCAGTGGCACGATCTCAGCTCACTGCAACCTCCGCCTCCCAGGTTCAAGTGATTCTTCTGCCTCAGCCTCCCAAGTAGCTTGGACTACAGGTGTGTGCCACCACGCCCAGCTAATTTTTGTACTTTTAGTAGAGACAGGGTTTCACCATGTTGGTCAGGCTGGTCTCAAACTCCTGACCTTGTGATCTGCCTGCCTTGGCCTCCCAAAGTGCTGGGATTACAGGGGTAAGCCACCATGCCCGGCCTCATTATTATTTTTTAATAAGACAATGAATTGCAGCCCTATCTCTGCTACTCATAGCTATGTAACCATGAGAAAACCATTTAATTTTTCTGTATATCAGCTTTCTTATCTGTAAAGTAATAAGGGATTAAATTAGATGATCTATAACTCCAATAGTAAAATTCTATTGTTTTTTGTATCTATAATCAATTACCCTTTGAGAGAGGGAGATGAAAGGTGTCTATGATATCTTTATGTAATCGGTTAAGTGATGAAGAAAGACAAGAGGTCAACAGAGATTTCTGACTTCATCTGGTAACTAAAGGTATTCAGGCACTTGATAGTAAACAAAGGCCAGGGGGAGAAAAGAGAAAGAAAGGGAGGGGATAGGGAGAAAACAGGAAAGAATCTCAATGGGCACCAAGAACCATGAGAATCTCACTACTCAGAAAGACAAAAGAACTTAATCAGAAGGATGCTTAGGCTGAGACAAAGATAAAAAGTGAAGAATCTAGACAAATCAAAAAGACTATTCCAACCCTAACCCCACTTTGGATGCCAGGCACAGAGAGTAAGATTCACTCACATATTCAATAAATATGTGTTGGTCACCTGCCCTATGTGGATTAATCATAATCTTTGTTTCATGACACATTATTGGTTTTGTTTTTTTGAGACGGAGTCTTGCTCTGTCGCCCAGGCTGGAGTGCAGTGGCACGATCTCAGCTCACTGCAACCTCCGCCTCCCAGGTTCAAGTGATTCTTCTGCCTCAGCCTCCCAAGTAGCTTGGACTACAGGTGTGTGCCACCACGCCCAGCTAATTTTTGTACTTTTAGTAGAGACAGGGTTTCTCCATGTTGGTCAGGCTGGTCTCAGACTCCTGACCTCAGGTGATCTGCCCATCTTGGCCTCCCAAAGTGCTGGGATTACAGGCATGAACCACCGTGCCCAGCCAAAAAATACATTTTTATTACTAATCTTTTGTGGTTATATGTGCTGCAAATGTCTTCTGTCAGTTTGTAGCCTGTCTTTTCACTTTCTTTAGGGTGTCTTCTAAAGAATGTAAGTTTTAAATTTTTTTCTTTTTTGAGACAGGGTCTCACTCTACTGCCCAAGCTAGAGTGCAGTGGCATGATCATGGCTCACCGCAGCCTCAACCTCCTGGGCTCAGTGATCTTCCTTCCTCAGCCTCCTGACTAGCTAGAACTTACAGGCACGTGCCGCCAGACCTGGTTATTTTTATTTTTTGCAGAGATGGGGTATTGCCACGTTGCCCAGGCTGGTCTTGAACTCCTGAGGTCAAGCAATCCTCCCACGTCAGCCTCTCAAAGTGTTGGGACTCCATGTGTGAGCCACTGTGCCCGGCCAGAAGTTTTTAATTTTAATATAGTCAAATTCACCAATCTTTTATGATTTGTAATTCCATTTTTTCTATTCTCTGGAAGACTTTGGATAAAACTAAAATAATTTGTTCCTTGAAAGTTTAAAATTAATTTGTAAAATTATCTGGGCTTGGTGAGGTTTTTTGTGTGTGTGGAAATTTTTAAACAATTTCTATTTTCTCTTATAGTATTATGACTATACAAGCTATTTCTTGTCAGATTTGTTATCTTTTTCTAGGAATTTATCCATTTTATCAAAGTTTTAAAATTATTAGCATAGCGTAGAGAACTCTCTTATTACCTTTTTACTTATTTATTTTTTTAGGCAGTCTTGCGTTGTTGCCTAGGCTGGAGTGCACTGGTTTGATCTTGGCCGACTGCAGCCTGCCTCCTGGGTTCAAGCGATTCTCCTGCCTCAGCCTCTCGAGTAGCTGGGATTATATTATAGGCCCATGCCACCAGGCCTGGCTAATTTTTGTATTTTTAGTAGAGACAGGATTTCACCATGTTGGCCAGGCTGGTCTTGAACTCCTGATCTCAAGTGATCTGCCCACGTCAGCCTCCCAAAGTACTGGGATTACAGGCGTGAGACACCGTGCCCCGCTTTATTACCTTTTTAAATTCTGCTGTATCTACAGTTGTACTGCTTTTCTTGGTCATTATATTATTTGTGTCCTTTTTCTTCTTATCTAACCAGGGTTTATCTGTTCGGTTAGTTCTTTGAAATCATCTTTGGACTTCTTTGGTACTATCTATTGTACCTATTTTTATTTCACAGGTATTAGTTCTTACCTGTATTATCTCCTTTCTTCTATTTTGTTTGGTTTATTCTGTTGTTAGAGATGTTTTTAGGCCTCTGATTTAGGCACTTTCTTTTTTCTTTTGCGATGGGGTCTCCCTCTGTCAACCAGGCTGGCGTGCAGTGGCGTGATCTCAGCTCACTGCAACCTCCACCTCCCGGGTTCAAGCGATTCTCCTGCCTCAGCCTCCTGATGGCACTACATTTTCTGATCTTTGTAACAGTTACAAATTACTAGAGGATATCAAGTAATAATCTATAAAGAATCTAGCACAATCCCCTTCATGTGGTGAACATGCAACTACATGGTGGCTATACCTTGTACAGAGACTATATCAAAAAAGCACAAAAGCAGACTAAAAAGAAACTAAGACATGAGCCAGGAAGACTGAGAGAACTCTAAATCAGATTCCTTTTCTGAGCTGGACTGATCTCCTGATTAGAATCTGGACTTCATTTTTAGAATAAAATGCTTTATCTTGCATTCAATGTGACTAATATGTGTATGATTATAGACAGTTTAAATTTTAAAAGATGGTTGAGAGAGAGAAGAACAATGTCTCTAGAAATATAAGCCAATGGAAAGGACTCAAGCCTTCAGGCCTTTGGATGTTTTCACATGTAAATTTACATGCACAAGTATACACAAACACAATCTATAATTGCCAATACCAAACATGTGTTCTACAAAAAACCTTGTTATGTCCCTGTTATTCCTCCACCCATTCCCAGGGCCAAGCCCCTGCTATGAATAAAACCATCATTTTTAACAGTGACTGGCCTCACCTTGTAAAGAATCTAAATTTCTAATAACAAAATGTAGAGAGAGGGAGAGACAATATGTATCCATGATCGGGAAGAGAGCTGACACAGACCAAGTATCCATAATGACAGAGGAACAGACAGGACAAATCATGTACTCACAAATGGATGCAATGTAAATAGAGTCAGGGTGGCCAGAGAGTATTTCTTACCTGAGTATCCAAAGGAAATACTGGAGATGGGGCTCAGGTAGATGCCTTTGCCATAGGCTGCTCCATGCAGCTTGCAGGGAAACACCAGGATGAGTAATATGAGCCTGGGCCCTCCCATGGCTATTTATTAGGCAGCTGCAAGGCTTATCCAGCCCTCTGTCCCTCCTTCTACCTTCTCATTCAAGTAACCCTAAGCACCTATTCTCGGAAAGCCAACTGGCTGAAAAGTGGATGCAGGTTAACCCGCTTGCCTATGAAATACCACATACTGATGCATTGGAGAGTGGGAAATGGTAGAACCACTGAGTCAGTCCCTCAGCATTCATTTTCCTGTCTCCAGGCCTTGGTACATATGCAGATTCCAAAAAAGAGGAACTACAGAACAGGGAGGCAGAAGGAGAGCCAATACACACTCCCTGGAGTCTCTCTGGGCATAGAAACAAGTCTCCCATATCTACTCCTGGAATGAATAGCCATATAAATTCAAAAGCTCTAATATATTAATTCATCACAGTGGCTACAATCAGCAATTCCACATTCCTGCTTACAGGTACATTCCCATTCTCCAAACCACCAAAAAAACGCAGCCTGAGGTCAAATACAACACAACAGCCACGTTCTCTACTTACACAGTTCTAACTTCCTCTCTAGGGAAATCCACAAGACAGGTTAGGCTTGAGGACACTGAGGCAAGAACAGCTCACTCTACAGCAGCCTTCCACAAAACTGAGTAGGGAAGGGAGCGGGCAGAAATAAATGGGAAAGGGGCACAGCCTCACCTGCAGTTTGGTGTAGGATGCATTGACCAGCCCATTGCGCAGGATCGAATGCCAGTTTTCAATGTGGGACCCACTGTAAGGCAGGGTAGAATACATGTCTCCTTATGATATGAGGTTCTCAGGAACACTCCCAAGACTGCCATGCCCACCCATTCTCACCCACAAAGGACATGAAGATGGACAGGTACACCTAGTGATGGACATACACATGGATACGGTCACAGGCACGCAAGATGTATGTGTGTGGTTAAACTCTACGTCTCTATTTCCAGTCCCATCCTCTCTTCTGTGCTTCAGCTACTCCCATCCTAAATCCTCAACTCAGTATTTTCATTTACCTATTCTCCTGACATTTCCAATTCAATAAATTCATCTGAAAATCAACAAATTCATCGCTGACCCCAAATATGGCTTCCAGTTCTGACTTCATGTTCTATTTTAAGAAAACGGTTCTACCACTCCCTGTAAGTTCCCTTTAATACCTCTCTTTCTTTCTCTTTCCCTCCTCTTACAATTAGATATAAATTGTGGATTTTTCCATCAAAGTAGCTTTCAGATCTATTCTCTCCAATCTATTTCTTCAGCCACATCTTTTCACATGTAAATGTAATTTTTCCTCAGCTACACCATAGTTTGAGAATAAAGATCACGTTATATGTACCTTTTTGTCCTCTACAGCACCTACCACAATAGCATTTAATAAGTATCTGCTGACTGGTTGATGGACACATGTAACACAAACCCATATCTCAAGGGCATCCTTCTCGCTCATCCCCGCCCCCTTACCACCCCCACTGCCCAGCCCCCAGCCTCCTCACTGGAAGGCAAAGGTGCTGCCATAGAGCTTCTTGGCGGTCCGGAACCGAGCCTCCTTGGCAGGAGGGCTGCTCAGCAGGAGGAACTGGTGTGAGGTGTGCATGAACTTCAGCTGCTGCCCAGGGTGGGGGTGGAATCAGGAAAACAGAGCAGAAATCGAGATCAGGGAGGGAAGGGATGGGGATAGGGAAAAAAATCAGGCTTGCATTAACCCCACACAAGGGAAATATGCTAAGGCCCAAAGACTAAGTTGATGGACAGAGCAAAGCAGGCAGATCTAGGACCAACATGATTAGCTGGCTTACAGCCCCTCCCTGCCCCTCACCAGAAATTTAAAGCATTTAGAGGGAGAATGGTCACTTACCCTGCTGAGAGGTAGTTTGACAATGTGTGACCTGTTGCTAGAGATGATCCTGGGAAGAAACAGAGAAAAAAATAAAAAGGATAGAATAATTATGTACTTAAGCTATCCTTCCTGAACAAGTAGTCTTCCTCTGCCCTCCGGAGAATAAGGACTCCTGGGCTGTCCAAATTGTGTGAAATGTCAAGGTCACTATCTAGATATTCCTGTGGGTGATAATGCTTGTGAATAAAAAAGTAAAAAGGAAGCTACTAACTAGACACGAGCTAATTATTGGGGAGTTAAACAATGGATGAAAAAAATAAAGGGGTGGGAGGAGGGCTGCTACAAGTAGAGAGTAAAAAGGGTAGAACAAAAGAAAGAGCACAGAGGTCACCTACAAAAAAAGAAAAGAAAAAACAGAAAGAAGAGGTCTGAATTAGAATGGTGACAACTTATACCCAGGATTTAGACTCAGATTCAGCCATCCTTCCTGAGCTCAAGAGAAAACCTGAAAGCTCTCAGGAATGGGGAGATATGGAGAAAAAGTTACTGCCTAGGCTGGAAAAAGAAACAGAACAAACTAGAATGAACTTCTTTAGGAGTCAAGGACAAACTAAGCTCTATACAGGCTGAACACAGAAGACAGAAGAGAACAGACATAAAACATTGAGGGCTCAGCAAGAGAGCGCTATCTCCCAGGTGGATACAGTTTGTTGTTGTCTTTGTTTTTTGTGCCTCATCTATGTACTTGTGATGCCACCCCAGATGGTCTATGCCTAGTTATTCCTCAGGCTAAGAGGGCGAAAGCTGTTGCACTGAGGAAGTACTGAAGGCTGATTAGGAAGAGGAAGGCAAACTAGAAAGGGAAAGCTATGTCAGGAAAACAACAGAAATCGAGATCAGGAAGGGAAGGCAGCAGGGACTGTCAAAATCTTCGACAGGAGAAGAGCACAGCAATAGTGCCTCAAGGCTCTGGACATTCTATATCAGGGCAAGGGGATAGCAGGAGGAGACAGACCTCTCTGGATGCATAGAAAACTTAGTTGAAATTAACAGTGTTAATTCCTACATGCAAAGGACACAAAAACCTACTGATGGCAACTATAGTTAGTAACAATGTGTCATATTCTTGAAAATCACTATGATAGTAGATTTTAAGTGTTCTCACCACAAAAAATACATATGTGAGATAATGCATATGCTTATTAGCTCTACTGAACCACTTTGCAATGTATACATATTTCAAAACATGTTATACACAATATACGTAATTTTCTTTTTCTTTTTTTTTTTTTGAGATGGAGTTTCGCTTTTGTTGCCCAGGCTGGAGTGTAATGACACAATCTCGGCTCACAGCAACCTCCGCCTCCCGGGTTCAAGCAATTCTCCTGTCTCAGCCTCCCGAGTAGCTGGGACTACAGGCATGGGCCGCCATGCCCGGCTAATTTTGTATTTTTAGTAGACGGGGTTTCTCCATCTTGGTCAGGTTGGTCTCGAACTTCCAACCTCAGGTGATCTGCCCACCTTGGCCTCCCAAAGTGTTGGGATCACAGGTGTGAGCCACCATGCCTGGCCCTATAATTTCTATATGTCAATTTAAAAAATAAATTAACAAACCAAAAAGGAAAACAAACAACAAAACCTATTGCGAAACATGGAACACCTAAAGAGAACTTGAAAAATCATGTTAGCAGCACATCGTGGCTCATGGCCGTAATCCCAGCTACTTTGGGAAGTCAATCGGGAGGATCACTTGAGCCCAAGAGTTCAAGACTGGCTTGGGCAACATAGGGAGACTCCATCTCTATTAAAAAAAAAAAAATTAGCTGGGTGTGGTGGCCCATGCCTGTGGTCCCAGCTACTGGGGAGGCTGAGGTGATCACTTGAGCACTGAAGGGCAAGGCTACAGTGAACCATTATCGCACCACTGCACTCTAGCCTGGGCAACAGAGTGAGACCCCATCTCAAAAAAAAAAAAAAAATTAAAATAAGATTAAAAATAATTTTTTTAAAAGAAAAATCATGTCAGAATTTGTGGGCTTTTTGTAGGATGTGTTATTTTCAAGGCAAGGTATATCAACAAATTCCAAGAAAAAGCAGCCATTATTGCCTATAACCTTGGGCAGGATGTTGAAATCACCACTAAAAGAAGGTACAGGTTCCATGTCCAATAACTCCCTCCCTCCCTGTAACCCAAGAAGGATAAGCCATTCTATCCATACCACTGCAGGAGAGGATGGGCCAGGGGATCCAACTTGTCCATCTGTTTCTTGATTTCCAAATATGAGCCCTGTAAGACAATGGCCATAACATTATCTCCCCGAGAGGTGGGAGCCTACCTGCTTTCTGCTTTTCACAGAGTGACTATTAGGATCCAGGGCAAGGTAGGCAACAAAGGCCACATAGAGGAAAAAGGAGATAGGGTTCCCACCCTCAAGGAGCCCCAGTCAGGCTGGGAAGACTCATAAATAAATCTGAAAATGACTGAAGATGCTTACAAAACAACATGCAGGTGGGTCTCCCTCATTTTATGCAATTCCTACAGCCCTAAAAAGTTGATTGTAAATCAAAAAATAAATAAAATCAATGTCCCAGGAAGATTAGGCTAAAGAATCCTGTAGTAAATCTTTAAATAAAGCAAAGTGTCCTCCTGACAAGTAAATCATTCCTCCTAGGTGTATCTTATGTGTAAATCTCAACTGTGATATACAGGATTTGCTGAGAAGAGGCCCACCTGTAAATGAGTACAAATGAATGTCTATTCATGCAGAGATTGCAGACGAGGGGTGGGGAAGTCTGGTGAGGGACAGCCTTGAGTCAAAGGATGGTCACCGCTCCATGTGGCTGCCCCACCCCTAGAAGGATAGAAGATGTAGGCCCCTGTGTCTAGTTCTTTACCTCCAAGCCCCCCTCCTCCTCACCCTCCCAACCCTGGGCAGAGGTCTTTCCTTCACTTCTTAACTCCCTAAGAATTATGGCAAAACATTAAATATGAACAACTTGTAAAGGAATTAACAGCAGAGGTAAAGATTGAGACACAAAGACTAAAGAGAATAAAGAGGAGTAACAGAGCTAACAAAACAGAGAACAAGAATTGGGAAGGTTAAAGAGGAAAGACTAAAAAAAAATACAGTGAGTAGCATCTCTAAATCTTCATCCCACTCCCACAAATTACAAACAGAATAGGACACTTGAACTGGGCAGGCAGAGGAGAGGGGACAGAGAGAAGGCAGAATACCTGGGTCATCTCCCGAATGGACATCACACTATCCAGAGCTTTCTGAAGCCGCTCATAATTCTTCTTCTGTGGGGAATCAATGGGAAGAGAAGAACCAGATAAAGAAAAGTAGAGGAAAGTAAGATGTGATGAAAAGGGGCTAGATGTACAAAAAAAGTCTAGGCCTAAGGAAACAACAGTATGTCATGGAAAGAGCATTAATGGTCAGACAGTTCTGGGGTCACATGTTTACCAGCTGGGAGTAATAGGGTAAGTTATCTGGCCTCTTAGAATCTTTAGCATCCCTTTATGCAAATGAAGATAACAACTATCACCCCCATAAAGATGTTCTGAGGATTAAATAACATACATAAAGAACTCTGTATAGTAATGACAGTAATAGTGAGGTACTATGCTGGGTACTTCCGACGGTTAATTTTGTGTGTCAACTTGATTGGGCCATGAGGTACCCACTCATCCGGTCAACCATTATTTCTGGGTGTGTTTGTGAGGGTGTTTCTGGGTTGAGATTAATATTTGAATCAGCAGACTGAGTAAAGCAAATTGTCCTCCCTAATGTGGAAAGGCTTTATCCAATCAGTCGATGACCTGAATAGAACGAAAAGTCTGACTCTTCTGCCCCACCCCGCCATGAGTTTGTAGAGTTTGTAGTTACTCCTCCTGCCTGATTGCTTGAGTTGGATTATCAGTCCTTTCCAGTCTTTGGGTTTGAACTAAAAAAAAATTGGCTCTTCTTGGATGTTGAGCCTTCAGGCTTTCAGACTAGAACATACACCATTGGCTCTGATTTTTCGGTTTTGTTTTGTTTGTTTGTTTTTTTGAGGCAGAGTCTCTTGCTCTGTCGCCCAGGCTGGAGTGCAATGGTGCGATCTTGGCTCACTGCAACCTCTGCCTCCCAGGTTCAAGTGATTCTCATGCCTCGGCCTCCCAAGTCGCTGAGATTACAGGCGCCTACCAACATGCTTGGCTAATTTTTTGTATTTTCAGTAGAGACGGAGTTTCACCTTGTTGGCCAGGCTGGTCTTTAACTCCTCACTCAAGTGATCCGCCCGCCTTGGCCTCCCGAAGTGCTAGGATTACAGGCAGAAGCCACTGTGCCCAGCTCGCTCTGATTTTCAAGCCTTGGGACTGGGACTAGAACTGTACCACTGGCTCTCCTGGGTCTGCAGCCTGCTAACTGTAGATGTTGGGACTTCTCAGCCTCCATAATCATGTGAGGCAATTCCTTATAATAAATCTCTTTCTCCTCTCTCTCTATATATCTCCTATTGGCTCCGTTTCTCTGGAAAACCCTAAAACAGCACTTTACATATATTACTTCTCATTTTTATAACGATCTGCAAAATAAATATTATCCCTTTCTACAAGATAAGGAGATTGAAGTTTAGAAAGGTTAAGTGACTTGCCTAATACCCTTCAACTGGGGACTAGCAGAACCTCAAATGGAATCCAGGTCTGTCTGGCTCCGAAAGCCCTTCTTCCCTATCATAATGTAACTAATATTAATTCTTCTCCTCTTTCTGTGTCAAACGTTGCTACTTACTGAAACAGCTAAACCACAGAGTTTAAGAGTTCTGTCCCTTATTCCAAGCCCTGTATATACCAGAATGTCAGCCTATAGTCTCCCACTATCTTTTACCATTTCTATTCCTTAGCCCTGACTTTCTCAAGTAACATACCTTAGGGTTAAAGGCCAGAGTCTTGGGATCAGTGGGGTCCACCACAGAGGGATAAGGCTCAAAGATGATGCTCTTTCTAGGGGACTCTAAAGCTGCCCTACACATGGCCACCAGCAGATCCACCACCTTAGGGGAAAGGAAAAAAAGGGGGCAGAAGCTAAATGATTTCCCAGTACTGGGAGTCACAGAGTATCTAGTATTTCTCTCTGATGTTCTTTTAAAAAGCAAATATGTTTAAGCCTTTTAAAATAGAAAATACAAGCTCATAAAAATTCGAGTAATACCAAAGTAACTAAAGAAACATTAAAAAAACCATCTTCCTGCCCTTAAGCTAATCTCATTCCTCACAGGTAAGTACTAGTGAATTTGACGTATATCCTTCCAGATAATTTTCCTATGGAAATATTTTCTTTTCTTTCTCTCTCATTCTTTTTTAAAGAGACAGGGGCTCACTCTGTTACCCAGGCTGGAGTGCAGTGGCGTGATTATGGCCCACTGCAGCCTCGACCTCCTGAGCTCAAGCCATCCTCCCATCTCAGCCTCCCAAAGCACTGGGATTACAGGTGTGAGCCACTGTGCTCGGCCCATTATTTTCTTACATGGAAAGTTTTACTACGTATACTGTTGTATTTGCTTTTTTATATAACTATGTTAAAATTTTCTGTCCATAAATAATACCTATATAGTACGTCTACTCTAAGGACATCCCATAATTTCTTTAACTGGTACCCCTACAGATGGGGTTGTATCCATTTTTTATTTTACAAACAATACGACAGTGGGTATCTTATACACAAAAGCATTTTTGGAAGTTAAATTCCAAGAATGAAATAGTTGGGTTCCTCTGTCTTTCTTGATCCCAATTCCCCAACCACGTTTCCCTCCCCCATACCTCTGCTCCAGTGGCCACCTCCTCTGCAGCTCCGGACATGACGCCCAGTGTGTAGAAGGAGAAGACACATAGTTCACGAGTACAGACAGCTGGCTGAAAGGATATATTAAACAGATGGTGGTGGGATGGGGTGCGCAATAAGGTGTAGGCAGAGACGGACAGTCCTGCCCTCAGACAACTCTAAAACAGGGTAGGAATTTGAGGCCCTCTATATCAGGAGAAAACTACCAATAAAGTCTTAATCAGAATGCCTTACTGGTAAGTTTGGGAGTTAACACTGTCTCCGCTATGAAGCCTTCCCTGATCTTCCTGTGATGTCAGATGCTCTCTCACCTGATTTTTAACAATGCTAATATCTCTTCTATAAACTTAACATACACTGTGATTTGTCTGTCTCCCATCTGGACTTAAGAGTCCTTGAGGACAGCATCATATCCAATCATCTTGGTTAATATCTGATCCCCATTTTTAAATGTCAGGTGGACTCTATCCTAAATATTCTCATATCCTCATCTCTCTAAACAGTACTGCTGAGATTTGTTTTCTAAGAAAAATCAACGATTTCTAGAGTATCAGGGTGTACAGACAGAATTTTACCTTGACCACAGACCAAGGAAGAAGGAAATAAAGGAGAGGAGTGAAGAGGACTTGGTTAAGGAAGAGGATCATAGAGTAGGGACCTATACCTTCAGCATAGATCCATTTTGGAAGACATGCTGCTCATCACACACTACACAGTACTCATTCAATGTTGGAATCCTCTGCTCTGCATACTTCATGATCTGGGAAGAGAACAGATTCTAAGTCTTTTGGAAGTATTGGCACACACAGACATGGGAAATAATTTCAGCTTTTTTTTCCAGCTACCCTCCATCCTCCCAGCCCCATGCCTAAGGTAGGACATATTCTTAGGCTGTGTACTTAAACTGATGACTGTATGGTATAGTAAAAATAAGACCATGATGTTTGATTGAGAAGACCTGGGTTAACTTCCTACTTCTAATACTTAATGGCATATATAACTTTAAGCAAGTCAGTTAACCTGAGCCTTGGTTTCTTCGTTTATACAGCAGAGCATTATTCACCTCATAGGGGTATTGCAAGAAATGAGATCATGTCCATGAAAGCATTTTAAAAATATAAAATGGGTGCTAATCAAACTATTAAAAGTACTTGTAATTATAGGCTGTCCTGGGACAGGAGAGCATTCATTCCATGATTAGATGGCAGAAGGTCCTGAGAAGCCATTTCAACTACCTAGAACAATTAGCCAGTCCACTGGTAGTCAAAACTACAGACAATTCTGTACTGGGAAGATAGCAAAATCCAGAGCTAATGCAACAATATCCTGAAGTGTTTTTTTGTTTGTTTTGTGACACCCTGTCTTAACATAGCTTTTGTGCATAAATCAAGTTGTTCCCATTTCACATGATTTTAGGCTGGTAATAGGACATGCAAGAGACTTTATTCATTTAATGCAGATTTACCGAATGCCCATTATGTACCCAGCTCTGTGAAAGGTCTTCTTGATTATGAAATAAAGGTTGTTTTCTCAGAAGCTAAGCTTCAATAGGAGAGATGTGGCATGTTTATAAATTAATAACAATTCAAGGCAGCCCATAGTATGTGACACACAGGTGCCATATGAAACAAACAAACAAAAATATTAACAGTTTAGTGAGGGGAGACATCACTTCTAGTTAATGCATTGGAGTAATGGCAATTTTATGGAAAAGGTGCCATCTGACTCTTGATGGCAATAGGAAGATATAAGGAATGACATGAACAAAGGTAACAGAGATGCAAAAGTGAAAGCATGCCCAGGGAATAAAGAGATTTTAAAAAGCAAATGACCAGTAGTAGCTGAGCAGTGAAAGGGGTCTGTGAAGAATACTAAAAATCACTTGAGCAAGGGCTATTGGGAATCATTAGGGAAATGAGTGTCAATCTCACTCTCATCTCATGTCATATGAGTCTCGACACCCACACACTTAAAACTGGCAGTGCCTCATTGGCACTTGATCATAAGTGGTAAGTGTCTTTCTAGTAATGTTGTCAGTTTCCTGAAGATGGGAACTATGCCTTCTTTCTTTCTACCATTAGTTTTGGAAGCAAAGCAATTCAGGAAGTATTTGATTGAGGAGCTGGGAGGTGTTAGGAGACCAAATGGGTCAGACAACAGGAAAGGGTTTTGGAGTGACGATTTTGACTTGATTACCTGAACAAGGAATCCATACTCCAGAGTGGGAATGTTCTTGCAGTGACCACTGACCTGGTAAGAGTAAAAAGACAGACCCCATGAACCTCCTATGAAGCTGGGGCCTAGACAGACCTGACTCTTGCCCATCACCTAGGACTCTCCTAAAGCAGCTAAACCTTAGCTCAGAATCCCAAAGCTGGAAAGGAGACTTTTAGACATTTTTGCCAAAGGTGCTGGAAAAGGGCTTACCTATTCCTTAACCCTCCTTCAAAGTAGGTGGAATATGTTAGTACAGCAGCTATAGTTAACTACAGTCCCACTCACAAACTAATAAAATCATACATGACTTCTCCTTGAGATTCCCATCTCGAGACTCCCTGCTTCACGGTCTATCAGAGAAGCTTGCCAGACAGTTTAGACGTAAGTTTTTTACTGTTAAAAAATGTGTTCCAGCTGGGAGTGGTGGCTCATGCCTGTAATCCCAGCACTTTGGGAGGCGAAGGCAGGTGGATCACTTGAGCTCAGGAGTTCAAGATTACCCTGGCCAACATGGCAAAAGCCCATCTCGACAAAAATATGAAAAATTAGCCAGTTGTGGCATGCGACTATAGTCCCAGCTACTCAACAGGCTGAGGTACGAGGATCATTTGAGCCTGGGAGGCAGAGACTGCAGTGAGCAGAGATTACCATTGCCCTCCAGCCTGGATGACAGAGTGAGACCCTGTCTCAAAAAAAAAGAAGTGTTCCATTCTACTCACTCATGGTACCTACCTAGGTTTGATTTATGATGCCTAGACAACCATACCCCCACCCCATTTTGAGAAACTACACTCCCACATTTCCACTCCCAACCTCCTGATAGCCAAGTCAAACCCTCCCCAGCCCATGTACCAAAGGAGAGGTCCGTGCTGGGGGAGGGAGGCCCACGTGCTGAGGGCACAGGAGACCTGCCTGGGGGCTGGGAGGGTAGCCAAACACCTCCACTTTGGGGTTCTTCATGGTACAGGAGATGGAACGGTTCATGAGACGCCCAACCCGAAGCTCTGGTACACCTAGTTTGCCTTTCAGCATGGAGTCCTGTATGATAGGGAAACTGGGAGACCTGGAGAGAGAGAGCAAAGAGAAGTGATAAAACTGGGGATTTCATAGGAGCCCTACAGGGTACTGGAGATAAGTGAGCCCTAAGCCAAAAGTTCTAAACCAAAGAAAGACAAACTCATATCTGAGGAAAGTTGCATTGTATCTTAAACACTATTAAAACAAGTAGATCACACATATGAATTTAAATTTTTATGTCATCATCTGTGGGTTCTTCACATTGGGACACTGAGGGTGGGCAGACGCAGAGCATAGGTTATTATGTTTCTAAGCCAAGTATGGAATAATCCCTTGGAAAGGCTGCCTGTTTTTCTTACTGAGAGAGAGAGAAAAACAGAGAAAGAGAGAGAGATTAAGTGTTAAACACTGTGCTAGGCAAAAAGTAGCTGCATCCCAAACGGCCTAATACTGACTATCTGACTGTCAACAATGATTCCTGGGAAGCTACAAATCTGGGTTTGTGTCTGCCTTAGGAAAATGTAGACCTGGGGTCAAAGAATGGAGCAATATTTATTTCCAGAAGCTAGCAAGGAATTACTGCCTGTTCTCTGACACTTTCCTCTTAGGATGGGGAAACGGATCAGGGCAAAAGAAAAGAAAGATGGAAGATTCAACCTACATTTCTCCAAATACATATCACGAGCTAGGTATTCTGTTTTACATAAAGGATTAGGTATTAACATTGGGTAAGGGGTAGAAAGGTAAGGACACATAGGGAACAGGACCATGTGAGTGGTGTCAGTAGTTAAAGAGACAGAATTCAGGAAAGAGAGGGGACAGAAAAGTTTATGTAATCAAGAAGGTGGGGGGTGGGGGCTATCACAAGGTGTTTACAGATGATCAGCTTTAGGGAGCACTTACTTGGGGATGGGTGAAAAGATGCTGAGGCCAGCTCGGAACTTCTTGATAGTACCACTTGCCTTGAACCAACTGTGCCTCTTCTCCTGCTGGGTCTTCAAGAAATCGTTGCTCAGATGTTTCCATTGTTGAGATGTAAACATACCCAGGATCCTGAGGGATCAAAAAGAATGAGCTTAGGCAAGATGAGGCAGGGTCAAGAAGTAAGGACTAAGAGAGGCAAATAATCTAAAATTCAGACCCAGGGACTACAAAACTAGTTGTGGCAGGGAAATGTGTATATGAAGACCCCTTAAAATGATCTTAGTAAATAAAAAAATCACCACCCCAGAGCACCCCTTTACCCTGGAGGATACCTATCCTAATGGACCAGAAAAATTCTGAGATGCTTTGCCTTTAGAGGCAGATTTCAAAGGTGAGTCTTCGAAGGCTGCAAACCTTGAAATCTATTGCCAAGAATGACTATACTGTTGACAGGGAAACAGAAGTGGTAGGATGGAGGTGAGTACCACTTTGTTCCTTGTGAGTCATGAAGAAAGGGAGTAGGGACATAAGGGGTACTGACATTGAAAAATTATATTCCCAAATTTATGGTTTCCAATTTGAGCTACGCCCTTAGCTAGATTTGTCAATCCTTTCACTTGTCCTTGATCAGTTCTCTCTAGCATTACTCTAAGGTATTGTTCTAAATCCTTATTACCTTCTTTAAGTTACTAACTTCATCTACAACCAATAACCCCTCTTCTTTCTTAAGCCATCAGATATCAGTTCCCTTAATTTTCCAACCCTACTATAAAATCTATTTATATTTCCACCCTACCTCGATCCCTCCATTTTCTGGAGGTAAGGTGACCCTTCTACCTAAGATCAGTCCTTCGATTTGTGCTCTAGATCTCAGCCCTGACTTGCCTTTTTAGGGACCTTGATGTGTCAATCATTCCCCTTTCCTCTCAGTTCCTTTCCAAAAGTCAACAAAAAATGGCAACTTTCTGCACCTTAGTCTAGTTAACCTCTCCCTGTTGCTTTCCCATCCCCACCCAAATTTCTCAACCCATATTCATTGTTTCTATGTTGTTGCCAACCACTCACCTCTCAAATTTCTGTATTCTGGATCCTACCTTCATCACTAAAATTGTTCTCATCCTGATGCTAAATCCAATGGAAACTCCCAGGTTCTTCCCTTATCTTCTCTAGCATCTGGCCCTCCTTGCAGAACCTGCCCTCCTTTGTCTTCTGTGCCACCTTTCTCTTCCTACATTACTCTGACTTACCTGCAGTGTTACTTCTTCCTCTGCCTACCGTGCTGGTTTCTTTGAGATTTTGTCTGACTGTTTAAGGGTATTTTGTCCTTGATCCTATCTTCTTTTCCCATTATCATGCCCTCCTTTGGCAATCTCATATTCACTGGCTGTAATTTCTTCCCACACGCACTGATGCATATCTTCAACCCTAACTTCTCCGGTAAGTAGCAAATTGACATTTCGGATAAGCATCTCCACCAGCATATCCAAAAGTTACTTTTAAATAACATGCCAAAAATGGAACTAATTACCTATCCTCATCCTACAAAACTGCTCCCTTCTCATATCCCTATTTACATTGGTGGTATCACAATTTACCCATACATCTAGGTTGGAAACCTACACGTATTTTCCACTATTCTTTGGCCCTTATGGCTATATTCAATACATCTAAATCAGTCTTCAAGTCTTATTGACTTTATACCTCACAAATCTTTCTAATCTGTCTCTCATCTCCATTCTCACCTATAATCACACTTTAGCTCAGGCCTTTAGCATCTCTTGTCTTGACTTTTACAAAAGCAACCTATTACACTAGTTCTGGTCTCTTGTCTCATCCCCTCCTACCCATTTTGTACAATGCTACCAGAATGGTTTTTAAAAATTAATCTGACCACGTCATTTCTTTGCCTAAACCCTTCAATGTTCACACTGCCTACAGGATAAAAGTCCAAGACCCTCTCTAACTTGAACCCTTCCCTATTCTCTGGCTTTGGCTTCTACACCCTCAGCTTGTATTTTACCAGCAATATTTAACTACCTGAAGCTCCCTACACATATACTGCTTTATGTGACGAAGCCCCTGCAAATGTTATGCACCCTCAGAATCTGTCTACATGGACAACTCTTACCCATCTTTGAAAATTACTAATCATTGGCTGGGTGCAGTGGCTCACACCTATAATCCCAGCACTTTGGGAGGCTGAGGCAGGTGGATCACTTGAGGCCAGGAGTTCGGGACCAACCTGGCCAACATGGAGAAACCCCATCTCTACTAAAAATACAAAACTTAGCCAGGCATGGTGATGGGTGCCTGTAATCCCAGATACTTAAGAGGCTGAGGCACAAGAATCACTTGAACTCAGAAGGCAGAAGTTGTAGTAAGCCAAGATCATGCCACTGCACTCCAGCCTGGGTGAAAGCAAGACTCTGTCTCAAAAAAAAAAAAAAAAAAAGAAAATAATTAATCATCACCCTTTCAACAGACAGAGTCTCTCTTCAGTGTCCTTTCTAAACCTTACATATTCACCTGTATTAGAATATGTATCCAGTGGACTCTATTTGAAACTTCACTGAGAGTGGAAAATATGCTTCATTTCTTTGTATACCAAATACTTAGCTTAATGCTCAACACATTCAATAAACTAAAATTAAATCCCTAGAGACTTACTCTGAAGAAACCACTAGAGAAATATGAATAGCATGACTCTGATTCCAGGGTAGTAAAAATGCTAAGTAGTGATGAGCCTCTTTTACCTCTAGAAAGTCTCAGGTTCTGACACCCAAGAACTATACACTCACTCTCCACAACCTTAAATCTGGCTCCCTAAATTTATTTTAGCTTTTCCTGGGCATATTTCAGAAAGACATTTTTGGAAGGAGGTATTCCATCCAAGGCTCTGCCTGTCCATCCATACATTTCCATCTCTCTTTCCTTCCTTCACATGTCCATGACCAGAAAAGACCAAAGTTCTTACTTTTTCAACTGAAGACCCAGCCCAAATCCTTCCTTATTTGATGGCTGGAAAACCTCAATTGATGGTTCTGCAAAGAGAAGAGAAAGCTACTAGTAAGTATGTATCTCTTGACTTCCTGGAGTCCAAAGCTCAGGGGAAGAGCTTCTGTAAATTCTAAAGATCATAGCTGCTGGGTACTCTAAACAGTAATGGTGGAAGAAAAAAAACATCTGAAGCAGAAGGCAGATTCTAGAAGCTCTCACATGAATCTGAAATATCTTCAGTAGGATGTTGAGAAAAGGAGGAGAAAGAAATTTTATCTTGGAACCAGAGAAAACAATGTCATTAAGCAAGAAGGCCTTTAGGGAATGGTTATCAGGTGACAGGGGCTGAAGACACCAATTACACGGGACTAAAAAGCCCCTACCAATAGCCTGCAGATTGAGCCCAAGGACCTTGTTCCTAATTTTTTTCTACCTTAGTTAACTTAGGGCTTTGGATTAGACCACACTCAGACCACCCACTTGCCCAAAGTCACTGCCTTTACCTGGTCCATCTAGGTACTGGGAGAGAGAAAATCGCAGCCTCAACACAATAGGTTCTGTCCGGAGGACCTTCCAGGCTGTAGAGACTTCCTCCTAAAAGAAGACGGGAAAAAGTTTCCAGTTTAGCAACATACAGGAATGGAACTGAAATTTCCCCTATATGACACACACATGCACATGACAGTACACACCACTGTCTGCTGAAGGTCTAGGAAAGACAAAGATGAAGAATATATGCTCCAAATACAGCACTCGGGAACAAGACTCCTGGCCTACATGACAAATTCCACAAGTCCAGCTAGACATGTTGTTGGCAGGTACTAGCCCCACTTACATCGAGGAAGCTGATGTTGATGTGGAGGTCAATGTCCACGTCATCGATAGTTCCATATTCTCTATAGAGATACAGGTGACAACAGGTGAGACTCATTAAGGGAAAAAGAAGGGAACAGAAACTGAGGTGGAAAGAGAACTTAGCCTGGGGACAGGAGAAAGGGAAAAGTGGACAACAGTTTTGTACCTAGGGTCTTAGCTACAGCCTTACACCACTTACATGATCAGTGTCTTCTCCCAGGCCAAAAGCATTTCTTACCTGAAAGGTGAGACTACTGGCCCAGAGGGGTCTAGGATAAGAGGGAATTCCTAAGAAAAGTGGCCTTACTTCTCTACTCTCTACTGTCAGTCAAGCTCATTTATTCTGAGCATTTTCTATCATTAAGTTCATAATTTATCCCACTATCATATGATAAAAAGAAAAACCTCTAGCCTTTTAACAACTCAGAAAGAAGTGACTTGCTCCCCTGCCACCCCTGAAGCAGAGTCCCACCTGATGGATACAGAGTTCTCACTGTAGATCTCCTTCACGGCTTCAATGTCTGCATCAAGCTGTGGGTGTCGATACAGGTCAGCTGCACAGCTTCCCTGAGATAGCAGCAAAAATGGTGGTGGAGAGAGGTGGAAAAAGACAAGGGAAAGAGAGAGATGATAACAAAAAGAATATGAAGAGACACCAGGAACAGGAGAAATCAGACAGTAATATAGGGGAAGTGAAAGCCACTTATGTGAAGGGGTTCTCAGTGGTGACCCTACCAAGGGATTTCATTAACAGAGGTCTGCATTTCACCACGACTTTAAAAAGGTTCAGCATACCAAATGTAGGCTTTTGCTTGGAGTTCACTTCCTTAAATCTCCAGCTTTTCCTCTCAGACCTTGACCAGGATACCTCCTATGACAACTCAGCACAGGCTGAAGTTACAGGTTTCCTAAGATTGGTTCTATATGAAGAGTATTCTGAGAGTCTGGGTATTTCTGCTCAGGGCTGTGCCTGGGTAGTGATGGCATTAAGCAATCGCTGGCAGAATAATCTTTTAAGATGTGACCCTAATGAATGAAACTACCCCCACTGGTTAGTGTTAAGAGTCAGAAAATAATTATGTCTAATAAGAACATATGGGTAGTCTCCACATACAGAGGATGCAGTTTACTCTGGTGGAACAAGTATGATTCCAAAGAAAGAGCAAGGGCATGGGATCAGCTCTGACAAGACCATGCTCAGACCACACCAACCTCATCTCATCTGTGCTCCAGAACCTCTTTCACTCCTGATGTATCCAAAGAGCAGCACACATCTAGACCATCCAACATGGGGGTCTTGGGAGATGAAACCTCACCTGAACTCCATAGAGAAATTCCTCTGATTCATTATCTCCCTCCGAGTCGTCATCATTCCAGAACTGGCCTTTGATGTCCTAGTGATGAGAAATAAGGATATCATGCTTTGTTAGGTCCCTATTATCCCATGGAAGCGGGTGGGATGATATGATGGGAAACAGATTCCCACAAAGATTGGGAAAAGACAGAATAACTGAAGCCCCGATCCCTTTACACCTTTCACCTCACCCTTTGGGAGAGTTTCAGTCTCTTCCTGATATGATCATATCCATAGACTAGCTCTTAGTGGGACAGAGGAAAAAATTTAGGGAATTTTGGCCTTCTGAAGTCTCAGCATGATGATTGAGAGGCTCTGGTAGCCAGCAGGAGAGAAATGCAAATGACTTCAATGTCAAGGTTGATTCCTAAGCATATCTCAGTTCCAGTACAAGCTGGCCTCTTCCAGGATCATTACCTAAGACAGTTCCCAAGCATACCTAAGCTCTCGTCTCATTATTTTCTTTCTATCCTTTAAAGTACTTAACTCTCCTCTCTCTCCCCAAGAAAACCCACCTACACAAAAGTACCAAGTAATACTGTTTCCGTGCCCCTTCCCTTTCCTTTAACTTCAAATAGCCACTCTATCTTCCACAAGGGTAGAAGGGAAAATACCAAGAAAGGGTGAGACCTGCACTTTGTCTCCTCCACCCTTTGAACAATCAGTTGGAGAGGTGGGCAGTCAGTTCTCACCATTGGGTCAGTGGGTCACACACACTCTCAGGTCAGTGCTAGGCAGCACCCCTCCATACCACCAGCCGAACCAAGGTCAACGAAATCGGCATTTAGGAGACCACAAAAGGAGGGAAGGTAGGGCACGATGTCAGGGACAACTGGAGATCTGTTGGGGATGGCAGGCTCTGCTGCTGTGGTGGTAACAAGTCACTGTCCTGTGGAAAGTAGAAAACAATGGGTTTCATCACCATTTAATAGGTGGGTGGTATATATACAGGCACACATATTTATGAATACGCTTTTCTTTTGAGATGGAGTTTCACTCTTGTCACCCAGGCTGGACTGCAATGGCGTGATTTTGGCTCACTGCAACCTTCACCTCCAGTGTTTAAGCAATTCTCATGCCTCAGTCTCCCAAGTAGCTAGGATTACAGGTGCCCGCCGCCACGCACAGCTAATTTTAATATTTTCAGTAGAGATGGGGTTTCACCATGTTGGCCAGGCTGGTCTCGAACTCCTGACCTCATCTGATCTACCGGCCTTGGCCTTCCAAATTGCTGGGAATACAGGCGTGGACCATTGCACCGGCCCATTAATACACTTTTATTATACATACAGATACTTGCATATAAAAAGACATGCTTGTATGCATATACATGCACACTTGCACATGTAGTTCTTTATAGATAATGAAACAGAAAAGCACTATATACAAGATATTGCTATTCTACTTAAACTGGAAAGCTGGGATTAGAGCAAGACCTTGCTCTAGCTCATAATGTTACAACTCCTAAAGCCAAAAGTGATGGTGGCAGGACAAGATGCTTATGTTTACTCTGTCCGTTAATTCTTCAGAGTACCAACTCACACCAGAGTTAAGATTCAGAATCGGATTATTTCTAGACTCTTTATTCTTAGTTATTTCTCCATGTTGAGCCATTATCTCTCTTTAAACATCAGTATTACTAGCTATTATATGGCAATGATAGCTAACTTAAAAAGTCCTCAACGGCTGGGTGCAGTGGCTCACGCCTGTAATCCCAACACTTTGGGAGGCCAAGGTGGGCGGATCACCTGAGGTCAGGAGTTCAACACCAGCCTGACCAATGTGGTGAAACCCTGTCTCTACTAAAAATACAGCTACTCAGGAGGGTGAGGCAGGAGAATCGCTTGAATCCAGGAGGCGGAGGTTGCAGTGAGCCGAGATCGCGCCATTGCACTCCAGCCTGGGCAACAAGAGCAAACACTCTTGTCTCAAAACAAAAAGTCCTCAACAACAACACTGAACATCTTTTGCCAGTTATGATCTCAGTTGTCATTGCCAAAATAATGCCCTAGAGTCAGCTTGGAACCTGCTTCCCAAATAAAAATGCAATAATTATCCCAAAAAATGCTTAGAAAAACACTTAATCCAGAGCCCTTTCATATACAGTTCCCTGCTTGCTTCTAATCTCACAGACTCCTAATCCTATACCAGCAACTTTTAGCCCCACTAAAGCCTCCACATATAGCAGAAAAACAAAACAAAACAAAAAACTCATCTGTGAAATTATGAAGGCTTTAATGGCTGAAGATGGCAAAGTTATCGTAAGAGCAGGCTAAAAAAGCTTTCTGCTGATCTCTAGACCAGCAAGTCACTAGCTCTGCATATATTTCAGTTGAAAACACTCCAACCTCAAACAGAGGTGTTCTTGGTCTCTAATACAGTTCTTCTTCTTCTTCTTCTTCTTCTTCTTTTTGTTTTCTGACAGAGTTTTGCTGTGTCGCCCAGGCTGGAGAGCAATGGCGCGATCTTGGCTCACTGCAGCCTCCGCCTCCCGGCTTCAAGCAATTCTGTCTCGGCCTCCCAAGTAGCTGGGATTACAGGTGCCCGCCACCACGCCCAGCTAATTTTTGTATTTTTAGTAGAGACAGGGGTTTCACCAGGTTGGCCAGGCTGGTCTCCAACTCCTGACCTCAGGTGATCCACCCACCTTGGCCTCCCAAAGTGTTGGGATTACAGGCGTGAGCCACTGTGCCTGGGTGGTCTCTAATAAAGTTCTACTGAATGTCACGTTTCCAGATTAGTGATTCTCTGACTAGGGTTGGTGGACCTGTAGCATCAGTATCATCTAGGAACTTGTTAGAAATGCAAATTCTCAGACTCCTCCTAAGACCTACTGAATTAGAAACTACAGAAATGGCCAGGCACTGAGGCTCACGCCTGCAATCCTAGCACTTTGGGAGGCCCAGGTGGGCAGGTCACCTGAGGTCAGGAGTTCAAGACCAGCATGGCCAACATGGTGAAACCCCTTCTCTACTAAAAATAAAAAAATTAGCCAGGCATGGTGGTGCACACCTGTATTCCCAGCTACTCGGGAGGCTGAAGCAGGAGAATCGTTTGACCCGAGGTGGCAGAGGTTGCAGCAAGCCGAAACTGCGCAAAAAAGAAAGAAATTCCAGAAACTGGACCCAGTAATCTGTGTTTTAACACACCCTCCAAGTTGTTCTGATGCATAAAATTTGAGAACCACTGTTCCAGTTCTAGATCCTTGTGTGTTCTACGGACCTGTGGTTCATTCCTTAGATACCAACTTAAATCTGGTAACTAAGCCAGGATGGGAACAAAAGGCACAATGCCAGAGCAGAGCCAGCATAGGAGTCTTCCAGCCGATAGTGTTGCCTGATCTCTCAGAAACAACATGCAAAAGGAAAGTATAACTGAAGTTCTTAGAGATGGAATGACCTGATCACTGAGATTTGTTTTAAAATACTACCCTGGCACACACACATAAAAAAATGAGGGAGGATAATAGATGAAATAAATATAGCAAATAGCAAAATGTTGATTACCAATGAAGCTAAGTGACGTACATGAGGGTTTTCTGGTAATCCCTACCTCCCTACTTTTGTGTAAAGTTGAAAAGTTTCAAAATAAAAAGTTAAAAAAAAAATCAGAAGCTACTCTAATGGACTCTCCTCAGAGTCAACTCTAAATGTTAACAGGAAGATTAACCAAGACTCTACAATTGCCTCATTTTGCTGTTTGCTGTTCTTCAAACTCACCAAGCATATTCCCATCATATTCCCAAGCATATTCCCACCACAGGGCCTTTGTCCCTGCTGTTTCCCTTTCTCGGAATGCTTTCCACCCATATATCCACATGGCTTGTTCCTTCACTCTTCCAGATCTCTGCTCAAAGGCCACCCTGACCATCCTATTTACTGAAACAGCAACAACTCAACACCCACATACTAGCACTCTCTATTTCCCTTCCCAGCTTTATTTTTTTTCACTTACCATGTTCTAACACATGAAATGTTTATCAGAATATACACTCTGGTGGCAGAGGCTTTGACTGTTTTCAGTCTACATTCTTAGTCCCTTAAAACATTTCTTGAATGAGTGAATGAATGAATGAACCCTCTGCTGGATACTGAAGTCTAATGGGAGATATATACAATAACCTACATGTTTCTACACATAGACAAAAATCACACAAAAAATGATTTTAAAAACCAAAACTTCATTCACCTTCAAGAGTAGCTGAGAACCAGAATGTGAAGATCTTGGGGTGAGGTTCGTGAGATTTGAAAATAAACAGTCAAGTGCTGATCTGGATGATCACAGAGAAGTAAAGAGGGAGGCACTAAATGTCCAGCCTGGGTTGCCCTGGCGTGAGGGGTAGGATGATGGCAGCGTTAGGCCAGAAATGCCAACTTTTCACGGTCTTTGTCGCTGCAGAAGTCAAGAAAAATTTAGCCTCTTTCCAAGGGCTGTTGCTGCTTGGTTTCTGTTGCTATCACAAGGAGAAAAAGGTAGTTGAGAGGGAGATCGTCTCGTTCAAGGAAGAGACAGTTCAGAGATTACCAGCTTTTTCAAACCAGGCTGCTTTAGTGAAAGGGACTTGTTCCCTCTCCTCTCAATGCCCTTTCCTCTGGAGAGATGGAAAGTGGATTTAAAAGGTGAAGAGTTGGAATTCACAGAATCACAGACACGTTTTAAAAAACAAGCCGGAAAGGTGGCCTAATTCAAAGCTTTCATATTACACACAGAATACTTAGACCTATAGAGGTTGAGCAATTTGCTTAAGGTTAGGCGTACAGAAGGACTGGGATGTAAAGACATTGAACAGGTCCTAATTACATCTAATCTTCACGTGGTGTGCTTATAATTGAGTTGTTCATGAATCAAGCAAGAAAGGCCTATCTGATTTATCTAAATGAGGTAAAGAATGGGACCTTACAAAAGAAGTTGGGCCAAAAATAAGATTATATGAGGAGTGTCCAGAGAAGGTGTTAAACTCAGCAACTAATATAGAACGCTTTATGAATTTCCACGGGAATAAGTCAAATGTAAACGAGCAAGTCTGGATCACAAACGTCTTTCCCTAGGCCATGGGCGCTTCTCTGGGTGTGACAACTTCACGTCTAGTCAAAGCAGCTTCAGAGCTCAACGTTAAAAATGGGGGTTGGGCTCCCGGCTTTGTGGTCCTGGAAGAGGTTACCCCACTCCATCCCGTGTGCTCCCTTCTCAGGACTAGGCCACTAAACAAAGACTACGACGAAGAATCACTGAGGGGCGATTCCCGCAAGGCAGCGCTATCTCGGGCACCCAGTAGGGAGAGAGGACAGGGCTGCCCCCACCCCGCGAAAACACTCTCTGGCACCCGTGCTTCCAGGACAGGCCCTGAGGCCTCTCCCGGGGAAGCAGTTACACCGGTTCTCCGGGGCTCCCCTGAAGACCCCAAAAACACTCAACACCTGCCTCCCCAGGGAAGACGCTCTGTGCCCGATCTATGCCGCTCGGTCGCCGGGCCTGAGAAGCCTGTCCAGCCTA